GGGGGGATCAGCAGGCGCTGGGGGAGTCCCTGTTCCCCCGAGCGCCGCAAGGAGTGACCAGGAACAATGGTCACAAGCTGGCGGAGGGAAGGTTTAAGTTGGACATCAGGAGGTGCTACTTCACGGTCAGGGCGGCTAGGGTCTGGAACCAGCTTCCAAGTGAGGTGGTGCAGGCTCCCACCCTGGGGGATTTTAAGAGGAGGTTGGATGACCACCTTACTGGGGTCGTTTGACCCCAGGACTCTTTCCTGCCATGGCAGGGGGTTGGACTAGATGATCTGCTCAGGTCCCTTCTGACCCTAGAAACTATGAAACTATGAAACTATAATTGATTCTTGAATTACACCCAATCCCAGGGCCCTAGCAATGTCGCCTGTTCAGCCATTTCCTAGATCTGCAATTCCCTCCATAAAGATGTGCTTCCTGAGGTCTGTTTTGAATTTGTTTTTCTTTAATTTCCTTTCAGGCCCCCATGCCCTGTTATCTGCATTAAGCTGAAACTAACAACTCGAGCTGACATTTACCATGTTGTTTAAGATTGCACGTAGCTCAATAAAAAGCTCTTCTTTCTTGCTTTCTTTTAAACCTGGTGGAACTCCATTCAAGACCAGGGAATTATGTCGAAAGGACGACGGGCCCACTTGTTTATGGGGCTGTTCCTGTTATTTTGACTTTACAACTCATGTTGTTTAATCTTCAAATAAACCTAAAGTTTTCTGAGGGAGACCGTGCAACTTGAAGTTTTGAAAGCACAAGAACATATGAATTCTAGCTGATCTGTTACCAGACAGTCAGTCTTACAGTGCTTTGCTCAGTAACACACTTCTATATATCATTGCTTTTGCTGCCTTTTTTTCTCCAAGTGGCTTTTTAAGCCATGTCTCCATGTTCCCTTGAGGTCAGATGGATTATCCACTATTTCTTTGCATTCCTTCTCAAAGGTTCCCAGCTCTGGCTCCTTGCTAGCCATCATTTGTTCCTGCTCATTACTTCTGAATCCATTGGTATACTATTTTAAATTGTTTGGCAACAAACTTCACTAGTAATTTGTCAGTGTGTCCTACAAAGCATATGTGATTCCTTCTGTATGTTATAGACCTACAGGTTCTGCCTTTACCTCTTTCTTGCATTTAAAGTTGGTCCCACTGTCTAGGCCATTTATTTAGATTAAAACCAGCAGAGAGCCAAGTAGTGACCCCTCTGGGACCACATATAATACAGTACATCTCCTTCATACCTGCTTTCACAGACATTAGATATTGCTCCTTTCAAATGGCCCTCTGTTTTCCATTTTTTTAACAAGCTCTTTATTCATTCTCTATATCCTACCTTGGATCCCCATAGCTCATAGTTAGAGCAAGGGCCTGTCAAGTGAAACCTTTCAAAGACTTCCTGAACATCTAAATAAACTGGCTTGTATGGGGCCAAATCCCTTTTACCTTACTTTACATGAGTGCCTCCTTTGAAGTCACAGGGACTGCTTGTGTGAGTAATGGGAGCAGAAGCTAGCAGGGCCCACAATAGTAGTAGTACTAGTAGCAGTGAGCACTGCTAGATGTACTCACAGGGTGCATCTACACAAGATGCTTTACTGTGCATTAGGCTAATTTAATGTGCAGTAAAGTGTCATCATCTTTACGTGGTCAGCAGTTATTACACAATAGATTAGTATAATGCACCATTTTCTAGTACCTGTAGATACAGGTACGAGAAATCAGCACATTAAACTGATGCACTGAAGCGCATGTGTAGATGCTGACTACTTTTTTGTGCCTCCAAAGGCATGTTGACTATGGGAATGGGAACAGTCAGAACTGTGATGTCTGTCTCTACCCCTTCCCCCCTCACACACACACAGAGGCATATGCATATGCATCCTACATATACATACAGAAATCTGCATCCTAGTCATACACCAACACGCACACACAGCATCCCTCATCTCTACAATGCCTCATTTAGGACTCATCTGAGAACCTCTAGATTGCTTTACAGAACATAAATCTTCTAACTCATTCCCTAGTGTGGTTGCCTCTGTTGGGAAACTGCAGTTGGTTGGTCTGTGAGTAGAGAGCTTCTTTGATTGCTTTTTAATATAGATTTTTTTTGTTAGTTAATCCAGGGATGGGGAGGGAAGTCCTTACCAGTTTTAATTTGATCTTTCTTTATTTTTTCGTTTTGCTATTTTTTGCTGTGCATTTAGTTCTGTGTGGGCACATCTGTATTTACAGAAAAATAGTATTGATAAGCCAAAGTGCCAATTTGCTTATATTGTCCTGGATGCTGCTCTTACTATAGTTAAAAAAAAAAACAAACAAAAAAACAGAACAGAAAAATCAGTAATCAGATGGCTAGGGAATGTCCAGAACATTTGAGTATTTGGGCCGTTTGTCCTAGATTTGCAGAACTGCTGAACACCTCAGTGGAAGCTGAAAATAATCATCATTTCTGAAGACCAGATCTTATACTTCCAAGCAGGCAATTGGAGATGCAAACATTGTGAATAATTTTTAGTATATAATATGTGCTGGATTTTGCTACCATCAAAAGCAATTGTCCAAAGAGGCGTCATGTCCTGTTTTCTTCAGTGGTTCAGCTGACCTTTGGTAAAAGTGAAGTTAAAAACAAGAAAGGCATTAGGAAAAGAATGCTGAAGTCTGAGGACAATGTAACATGACACAAGAGCTTGTTTGTTTCCTAGTATGTCCAGAATGAAGTTCCATTACATGTAGCTTCTTAATTCTCCTTGGTGATTTAATGGTAGGGATTTCATAGGTGGACATGGAATCCATAAACATTTGGGGAGAGTGTTTCATAAATGTATCTCCTGTTACTTCCAACAATAATAGCAATGTATTTTTAGAGACCAAATCAGAGCCACAGCTGTAGCACATCTGGAAAGTGTGTGCGTGTGTGCAGCATAATGGTGATTTTTGACACTTCCAACCTCCCCCTACCCTACCATTTGAATCCTTTATGTTTTAAGAAAACAACATTATGTCCTTACTATCAAGCTAAGTGTTGTTTCAGAGCCTGCAAGGCAGACACACAAGGTCAGATCCTGCTTGTCTTCCTCACATACAAGGACTCCCCCTGAAGTTAACAGAGCTGATTACATTAGTAAAATGAGCATGATTTGGCCCACAGTAGATAGCATTTAGTGGGTCAGAAGTTTGCAGCATGCAGCTAGAGTAAGTGGAGTTAGTCCAGGCTTTCACCAGGCCAAAAGCAGAAGTTGGTGCAGAAAGTCTTTAAGATATGCAGAGAGTGGTAGAGATGGAATGATTCCACTTTTCTGATTTTTGATGGTGGGGCATAAGGAAAGGAAATCTGCTGAGTATTGAGATATAAACAAGACATTTGAAGAGGGACATTTCTGAGATTCAGGCTGGAAAGCTGCAGTACTGGAGTCCTTCCTTGTGGCTCAAAGCTGCCCTCTTCAGTAAAACAGGCACACTCTTGTTCCCCATTACAAGCCAGGCCAGAACTCTGGCTTTCTCAGGCACTGCTGCATTTGTAGAGCCCTGGAAATGCCTTCTCATGGTTTCAAATCTACTGAATGCAAAGGGCTAGCATGTTAAATGCAATGCTAGCATATTAGCTGTGGGCTCTGATGTGACTGGCATGAAAGGGAGGGCATTTGTCACTTGCCACTTTCTAAACTTTCTTGCTTGCCTCCTTTCATTCAGCAGCTTCCCACCACGGGGGAAAATTTTCCTGCCTCTTCATGTTCTTTCCTCTGATCATTTCCTAACTAAACCATAGTTGTAATGAATTCTGGACTGGCTGTGCTCCACTGGGCAAGAAGTACATCTTCGTCTTGTTTGGAAAGTGTCCTTCCTGTCTTAGATAATACATAAATTCATATAAGAATAATTTACCATATCTACCTGAATTCAAGACAGCTCTGAATTTAAGGTGACTTATCAAGAATAAGATTCTAGACACGGAATATTTATAAATTTGTTATAATTTTCCATGTCTGCAATCTAATTTTTGGAGGGTCACCTTAAATTGGTTCCCTCTGTTCCTACAGTGGGGCAAGCAGCATCAGGGGCAGTAGGTGGTAGTGGGGCAGGCAGCAAGGGAGTCAAGCAGCTTGACCCCTACCCCTTGCTGTCTGTTCCCCCCCACCATTTGACCCCCCCAGCTGCCTGCCTCCCCCAAAGTGACTGTTCAACCCACGCCTGCCCCACATGGTGCTTGTACCCCCTGCTGCCTGCCCCCCTCACTTTCACCTCTCCAATCTGCCCCCCGGTGCAATGCACCCCGTGAAACCTGCCCCTCCTTCCCATGCCTACACTCTTGGGGAACCTGTCCCCCACCACTACTTTCAGCTCCTCCTGTCTGCCTCTCCCCTCTTGCCTGCTCCATGCACCCACCTTCTCTCCCTCTCTCCCTCTCCTGCTGTCATTTACCTTCCTCTTGCAGCTCTGGCTCCAGCTGAGGCCTCTCTGTGGCTGGGATCAGGGAGCATGGGCTGCCTCTGGCCCCAGCCTGGCCACACAGCAGCTTCAGCCCCAGAGCCAGGGCCAGAGCTGATGGTGGCCTGGCTGGGCTCAGCATTGTGCTCCATTCTCCCTGCCCCAGACCGGATCAGGACCTCAGCCAGAGCTGGAGCTGTGAGTGGAAGGTAAAGGGGATGGGGGAAGCAGAGGCAAGGGGGAGCAGAAGCTGCAAGGGGCAAGATTGGTGGGGAGGGGTGGGCAGTGGCAGTATCTGCAGTTTCTGCGCTGACCCCACGGTTAGGGTCAGTGTTGGAGATGCAGCTGCTGTCATCCTTCTGCTCCGTTCAAATCTAAGATGAGGGGTTTTTTCCCCCCATGCTGAATGGAGGGGAAAACCTCACTTTAGATTTAAGTAAATACCATATTGTATTATTGATACGCTATCAGGCCCACCCCTTCTGCATATTTTAGCCTTCCACAAGGAGCTCACTGTTGTTTTCTGTTGCTCCAGATGCCTGTGTCATGTAGGTATCTGAGTAATGTTTTTTTTTCAGTCTTCCTTTAAACCTCCTCTCTCACAACTCCTCCTTTCCCCACAAAATGAGAGACCTGGGAGACATAAATTCTCCTTTCATGCTTGTACATTTATATGTGGAAAAGTAATTATTTTGTTTTAAATTCCTATTTGTTTGGACTGGCTAACCTCTTAATTAATCCTAATCCCTTCTTCCTGTGTCTTGAATAATAATAATAATATCAGAATTGTCTGGGATGATTAATGCCCCATGCTTTCCAGGTCCTGAGCTGAGTAAGATTTATAGAGCAGTGTTTTCTGGTAGTTGGGGTTTCCTTTCTTCTTTCTCCCTCTCCCTCCTCCCCGCCCCCCACCTTCTTTTTCCATTTTTGCATTGCACTCATTGGCATTTGCTTTTGTTTCTCAGGTGTAAATACTGTGACAGATCATTCAGTATTTCCTCTAACCTCCAGCGGCACGTCAGAAACATTCATAACAAGGAGAAGCCATTCAAATGCCACCTGTGTAACCGATGCTTTGGGCAGCAGACCAATCTAGACCGACACCTGAAGAAGCACGAGCATGAGAATGTTCCAGGTAGGCGACACTGTCATGTGCAGCCTTTATGAGAGGCAGTGGGAGGAGAGCCCTCTGGGACTTCACTCTTCTTGCAGCCTCACTCATTTCTTGCCAGTGAGTATCATCCTCAGGCAGCAAATGAGAAAGTTCACATCTTTGCTTCAGATACTGCATTCCTAACAATGGAGAGAAGTACTGATATCACAGCGTGTAACTCTCTCTCTCTCTTTCACACACACACATGCATGTAGTTGGACAAGAAAGCAGAGTTTTATTATTTAGTTAGTGGAAGAAGAGATAGCAGCTCTGGATTCAGTTCTCAGCTCTGCCACAATTGCCCTGTGCAATTTTGGAGTTTAAAATTCTCTGTGACTTTTCCTTGTCTCTCTACAAAGGAAAAAAGAGGCAGTGATCATACCGCATGCCTCAGAAGGGGCTTCTGAGGACACACTTACTAATGATGCTGAGATATTCAGGAGCAATAGTGATATGGGCCCAATAAGCATTTATCTAAAAAATCTCTTTAATGAAAAAAAAAAAAAAAAAGACTGTTAAATTGTGGCTCTAACTTAAAAAGACAGGTAGAATTTTCTTTGAAAAAGAAGAAAAAGAGGGGAAGGGAACCTACACATTAAATTAAATGTGTTTTAGCTCAGAAGAAATAGAAAGAGAATTTTAGAGTGGACACACCTTGGCAAGTGCATTTATTCCGTACATGCTAAATGTTAACAAATGAATAATCTCCGGGCATTTTAAGTTAAGAAAAGCCATAGTTACACTATTTTTAATTTTTGAAACTTCTCTGGTGTTTAAATTCTCACTATACGCTAAGTGACGTGTTGCATAAATATTCCTCCTGGACATTCTGGGTAGCAGTTTTGGTAGTATCCGATTTGATAGTATCTGATTCTCTCCCCTGATTGCTCTCGTGTCCAGTGAGCCAGCATTCTGGAGTCATCACAAACCACCTTGGGACCAGTGCCTCCTCTCCAAACTCAGAATCCGACAACCATGCACTTTTAGACGAGAAAGAGGACTCGTATTTCTCCGAAATCAGAAATTTTATTGCAAATAGTGAGATGAATCAAGCATCAACTTTAGCAGATAAAAGGTAAATAAGTCAATAAAATCACATTACGATACCCGTGAGATAACTGGCTGATTTATGGGAATATTTAGGGCTTAAATAGAATGTGTAAAAACAATGATCTTACTAAACTCTCAGTCTAGAGACTGTAGAAAGTAGTCGCAATTCATGGAAACAACTAGCGACAGTATATCAGGGGAGAATGTAGCCTAGTGGTTGTTCCCTCTGTATCCTGCAGAGTGAACCCAAAACGACTGTCCTATAAAAACCTTATTTTTCCCTAACTAAAAAATCCAGTGCTGTTGACCTTCCACCTCACCTCACACAATTTAATCCATCTCACTAAGGCTGGGAGATTATTGCCTAAGGAAACAGAAGCGTGCAATCTGTTTGTGTCATTTCTAATGTGCCTGCTGTAATGGGTGGGAATATGGCATTATTGATGTCAACAAATCAAAATGTGTAGTGACCCAGGTATTTCCCACACAAGTGTTTTGTACCCTTCATGGATAGACAGGAACCGATTTCTATGTTCCATTGCTAAACCTGATCTTAGGCCCCTGTTTGCAAGCCTCTGTAGTCAGATGTCCCACTCCTTCCACCCAAACACTCTCCATATAAAAGACAGCGTTCCCTCCTATAGTCTTGATAATCATCTCATTCATGGCAGAGGCTTAAAAGTAACTGAGGCCTTGATCCACCAAAAATATAGGGCTTCACAAAACCACCAACCTCTCTTCTTCACTATCCTTCACTGCCTTAATGTGGTCCTGTAGGATTGATTCATGATTCCCCTCCTTCCCTACTTTGGATTCTTTGGCCAAATCTAGACCTCTTTGAACACGATGCAGTTCCCCCAGCTTCCCTGGAAAGTCAACTGCTCACAGTAGGTCTGCATTTTAGCCCTTTGACCTCCCCTTTCATTAGCTCCCTCTCTGGAAATCACTCAATTTCAGACTAGCCCACTCTGGCATTGGATCCCATATACCCCTGCAGTAGGTCTCCACCATCATGAACCTCCATTAAGTTAACAAGCGGAGAAATTGGGCAGATGCTGGATGTCTCTGCTATGTGTAGCTCTGAACTTCCCCGCTTGGCAGCCATATGTTCCCGGCTGCCACCATAGCAACAATATCCTTCTGGAATTTTGCATGGGGAATGCACTACTTAGCTTTACCCAGAGGGCTTGTAAAAGTGTTAAATTTAGATGCATTTTCATTTTTTTCCCCAGTTCTGTGGCCTTCATTTCAGGCCTGGATCAAAGACAAAACAATACCGTCATAAATAGATTCCATACAAGAGTTTTTGTTTAGGTTGCACACTCAGAAATAAAACAGGGGAAAAAAGTTCACTGCCATTTCCTGGGGGAAATTCAGAATCTTTTGACCTTGTGCCTGACGTAGACAAAAAAATAGACAAGAAGAGAAGTCCTCAGCAGGCTGATATAATTGATCCACAGGGAGAATCAAATTTGGGCCTGTACCTTAAAGAAAATTGATCAAAATTCTCTAAAACAAACATGCTGCTGATGTGTTTAGACTAAGTGACAAGATCCAGGGCTTGGAAAACATCTGAGTTTCCCCTTAATTTTTTAAACCTTATTTTGACAGAGTGATATTTAATCTACAGAAAGACCCAAAAGGACATTCTGTGTTGTACAAATGTCACTCCACTCTGGGCCAGTTGTAATTATGTTGCTGCTACTCTGTTGTTTTCACAAATAGCCATGTAACGCTGATATCAAGTTTGAAGTGTTTGGGGTTTTTTTTAAAACCAAAATGTTTCTGTGGGAGCTCTGCATAATGATAATAACCAGTGTAATCCATATTAAACAAAAGCCTTCAAGGACATTCTTGATTTTAATATTCACTTTGTTGTGGAAACTTTCTGGATGATGAAGTTAAATTTGTATCATTCCATCTAGTATTATCTCAGTGCATTCAATTTATGCATCATTACAGTCAGGACATTAGTAATCTAACATGGGGTATTTAAGTTTTACTGGCAGCTTAGCTACCCTTTGTCCACATAGATTTAATTAGGAATAATAGCAAAAAAGGGAATTTAGTTTGGTCATTCAGGTTCACATTTAGGAAACTTCCTCTGTATGACTGTAGAACTTTGTCCCTAAGGAAACTATTGTTTTGGTCTGTACATCAAAAAGCACAAAGACATGTCTCTTTTCCCACAAAATGTATAATCTTAAAAGGTGGAAGTAAACATTGTCTCTAAAACCCAAACCGGACAAAATCTAGTTTTAAGAAGCATCTAGGAATGGAGTATATTTGCTTTGTCTCATCAGCCCTTAGACATGATAGAGAATGTTTTTTTTACTGCCCATGCAAGAATGGATTATCTCACAAGTCTTTTCTGTCTCCAGCTGTTTGAAACCATAAATAACAAATGTAGAATGAAATGCCTAAGTCCTGCATCCAAATGGAAGTGTATTACTGTACTCAGCTGACATCTTGATTATCTTGTCATCAAACCTTTCAGGCCAGAAATCCAAGATATAGATGGCAGCTCCCAATGTCATGGATTAGCAAGTGAGAAAGCAGAAGATGTGGATGATGAAGATGAAGAACTGGAAGAGGAAGATGATGACAGCCTGACAGGGAAATCGCAAGAGGAAACAGTATCGCCCACAACAGAGCCCCGAGGAACATTTGAGGATGAGGAGGATGAAGAGCCCACATCCCTCACCATGAGCTTTGACCATACCCGAAGGTGGGTTAGGCTATGTCCTCTGTAAAACACACCCGGGTTTAATTTCTGGCCTTGCGTTGTTGACAGGTCATGAGCAGTATCACTTTATTTTTATACCATGACTCATACCTCCAGTTTGAGCACAGCATCCACCCTAGGTATTTCATTTTCACCATCATGGAAATCAGAAGGGGGAAATGCACTGAAAGGCAAAACTCTAATAAGATACATACAAGGCCTGAAAAGGTGTGTGCCAGGAAGGTAAATAGTTAGCACCTGACAAAAAGGAGCCTCCTCAAAATTTGCATGAATTCTTCTTTCTGCACAACAGATAAAGTCTGTTTTCAGAACACTTGTCAGGGAGAAGGCAGTGCCAGGTGTGGATAATAGGAGCATGCAAACTGTCAGGTTTTCCAGTGTACCATCCATCTTATTTACAACAAAATGGCAGTGTCTTATTATCTTGGTACCTGAGGCACAGAATTGATTTCAGTGGAGACAGTGGGGTCACTCTTATCTGGGCTGAGTGAATGTGTCCCCATGCTCTTGTTTCATTTTTGTGTCCATGCGTGCTCTGTATCCTGGTTCATACACCACCAAACAGACCTCTTCAGGACAAATATCTTAAAATGTAATCAAAATATTGAAAGGAAAGGAGACCTGTGCTGCTTCTCTTCTGTTTTGTTCCACTTCTGAGGTTGAAAATGCAAAGCTTTGTAAGCCAAGATAGCTGACTGCCTGCTGCAGAAGAGCGTATGTTAAAATGTATACTGCAAGGCAGAAGAGTGTGAAAGGATAATTTTACATTGGAAAGCACAGCAAAATATAGTTGTTTGACTACACAGAAAGTGAAGGGACTCTCTTTCCTTTTGATTGCTTAACTACTTGCATTTCACACTCATTGCATCTGTGAGCTGGCATGTTGAAGTCCATTCAGGGTGTGGTTCAGTGAACAGGGCAGAGAGAAAGGAGTTAGGGGATGAAACCTTTACCCTGGCTCTGCCACCGATTTGTTTCTGCATGTATTTCCACTGAAACCTATATTTTCAGGAAAGACTCTTTTGGATGCCCAAGTTTGGAGTGCCCAAGTGACCATGACTCCCATTGACTACGACCAGTATTGTCAGGACTTGCAAAAATCAGGTCCTAAGAGTCTAAATTTGGGTCATAAATTGAGGTATCAAAAATGCAAATCCACTGCCAAAAATGTGGGCCTTAGCTTGCCTGGTGCCATAGTTCTCATCTGTAAATTAATGATGCTTTGTTATCTGCTGATGCAAAGTGCTGTAATATTCAAAGTGTTTCCAATGAAATATCCTATAACTCATGGAGACAATGGAGCAGCAGCTACCCAGAAGCTATTGTTGATGCCCCACGTTTTTTTCAAGAACAGATAAAAACCATACTTCTATGCACAGGGAATCTGAATGAAAATGGTCTCCACACTGAACGACAGAACATGTGCTTGCACTAATGCTTGCAGTGTAGGCGCATAACCATGCTTTCTGTTTTTAGTTTGCTCCCAGCATCATGTGTTGTTTTCTTGTCCGTTTGTCTGTCTATTCATGCATGTGGCTTGTGGGAACCCCATGTTATGTGCATGCAGGCGCTGAGTTAGCAAAACTCACATTGGCTAGACTGTAAACGGCGCGATGAGCTAACAACAGGTCAACCCCTTCCCCTGGTCATTGGTACAGGTGTATTGAGGAGGACGAAGCCGGCTTGTTAGATTTGGAGCAGATGCCGAATTTTGGGAAGGGGCTGGATCTTCGCAAAGCAGCCGAGGAAGCATTTGAAGTTAAAGATGTGTTTAATTCCACCTTAGACTCTGAGACAATAAAACAGACTCTGTACAGGCAGGCTAAAAACCAGGTAGGTATATGACAGAACATTTCACCTAGCTTGCCACCAGCATTGCCATGGGAATAGTGATCAGCAGTGTGTTCCTTGAGCTCGGTTGGTTTTCTCTCTGTGCTGAGTTGGCATTCTGATGGTCACTAATTTGGGAACTGCGTCTGCTTGCAGCCATGTTGCAGTCCGGAAGAAACAGGAGTGGGACTGTTAACTTAGGCCGCATATAATCAGCCTCATTGACCATCAACCCTGTAGTGTGAATATGAGTTGTGTGGAGATAGAAGGGCATCAGTTGATCTTTCTGTATATAAATGTCTATAGAAAGGTGATAACTGCAAGCTTTCAGCCAACTCATCCACTGATATGTATTGGAATAGCTCCAGCTAAGGAACTGTCCTATTGAAACCAGTAAAGTATAACATAATTTAACAATAGGAATAACAAATCTAATGAATAATAGTTTTTCTAGACTTTCTTGGAGAGTAGCATCAATCCAAGCAGAAAATGCAACTTCCTTGTGCATTAGGCATTATCTTTATCTCTGTACTGATTGCTCCTATTGAAAAGAACTTCAGAACAAAACTCTGCCTCACTAGCAATAAGCCATGAACCATGTAGACACAAACAAGAACCAAGCCGAGCTTTCTGTCAAAACTCAAATGGCATCCTAATGTATCTTGAAGTTTGAGAGACTTTGAAGAACTCATATTTAAAGAAAAGTGGTATGCTCTGTGCTCCCTGATTTCACTTGAAGCAAAAATACTGCTCAAGTCTCTTGATACTTGCACCTTATCCAAACAGAAAAAGGTCTTACCAGGAAGCTATTCTGAGTTATCCAGCCCAATTCCTAGAATGAAGGGCACATTTTGAGATAAGCCTCAGAGAAAGTGTCTGACCGAAACTTCAGCTTTTTGCCCTCAATCTGTCCTTCTGAACTGCATAAAACAAACCCATGCAGTTTCAGTATTTCCCTTCAATACTAATGCAGATTTGAGCATACTTAACAGAGTGTCTGCTTCAGGTTTCATTTGGGACAATCAGCTACTGCACTTGGATTTCCTTTTTGAGCTCCAAAGAACAGGATTTGCAGTGACGGCTAGCTTAAATGACCAGCCAGTTGAGCTGCTAAATTCAGTCACGTAATAGAGATAGGTCTTTAACTAAGGTCAGACAGAATTGTACTGGACACCCTAAAGGTACTTTATTGTGGTTACTTAAGCTTCAGACAAGAAAAGGCACTGCCTCCTGGAAGTGGTTGAAATGGTCTTCACTGTGGATTTAGGTGCATTTAAGGGGGTTTGCCATATGAAGGAGGGAGAGAACTTCTTTTCTGGTAAAGAGCATTTAAAGTTTCAAACAAGGCACTTGCATGCCCTCTGTTTGTGTCCTTTTTACTAATATGCTGACTCTACTAACTATCTTGGGACACCTGTTTTTTTTCTTTTTTTCACTGCAATAGTAGGTGTGATGTGTCATTGTTTTTAGAAACAGTTTTGTAGAACGGGAAATGGAAGACATACCACATTGAGAGGCAGGGTCACTCAAATAGTTTCAGACTCTCTGATGCGCATATGTTAAATGCAGGCAGTATGGTTAAAAAAAACAACATTTACTCAGTCAGCAAAGCATGGCAGTCTTATTGTTCAGTTCATTTTGTTTGGCTTTCTCTGTAGCAATTTAAATAGGCACATGTTCCAAAAGGTTGGGTTTGGAGTTCTGTGTACTACAACGATGATGATTATGATTAAGTTTGTTTTACAACCACAACTAGGGATGACTGTGCTAAACATTGCAGAGATGTAGAGGAAAAACACTGTGCTGCCCGGAAGAACTTGCAGTCCTGGTCCTCTATCCCACAAAGACTGATGCATATATATCTTCTTAATGTTATGGGTGGCTCCCCTCAGTTTCACATCCTCATCATGTTAAGTTCCAGGTGTGCATAAGTCTTTGAAGGATTGGGGCTTAAGTGTTAACAATGCAAAAAGTGGATACGACAAGCAGGTGACAAGGAGGAGAAGGTCTAGAGAACAGTAAAGCAAACCAATTATCATGCCATAACCAGAAGCCCCAGCTTATTTCTTCTCTAGACATTTTCATGAGGTAGCCTTAGAGTAAAGCATACAAGCATGGACTTGGGACCCTGATAACATACCTGCAAATACTGCACACAAATATACCCTGTTCCCTCTGCACATGCCACAAGTCCATCCAGACCTAGCAGAGTTGCTCAGCAAATTAAATAGATGCCATATACAAAGCTCCTGTTCTCTAAGCTTGACCTTTGCTGTGACGTAGCTGAACCTCATCTAGATTTATACTCTCACCTGTCCACAGAAACTTCCAAAAGCTAGCTTTTCATGGCAAGGAATTCCTGTCGTGTACACGCATGTGTCCTGTCTTACCACACTGTTATACTGATCATGACCCTACATGCGAGTGTGAGAGTGCTGGGGGCTTGTGCTCCAAAACCTAGTCCCTGTTGAGGTCCGTGCCACTATAGCAAGACTGTATATGAGCTGGCAGGGGGGCACCATGCTACAGTGCAGCTTTATACTTTGGCAGTCACATGCACCGTGATATATGCGTTTTTGAAAACCACGTAAAGGAAATGGGCCAAAGTGCTGGCTCCTGGAGATATTCCCTGGGAGGAGTTATGTCCCATAGGAGAGGGGCCTGGAAGCATATGTTAGGATTTGTTATCAAGTGCCAGGCCCTGGCACAAAGGTGGGGATTTGAGGAGACAGAGGACGGTGGCAGGTTTGCCTGTGTAGGCCCATTGCTGCCTCCTAAACTCTATGGCAAAATCCAAATAGTTTGTGGGAGGACAAGAACTGACTGATAGTCAGGGCTGCCAGCCCAGACCAATGCTGTCTGCCTGTTTGGCATTCTGGAATGTGAATACTTAAATGAGACTGTACTTCCCCTGGGTGAGTCCAGGATGTCCTGAGTTTGAGTCACCCATTTATCTACCTGTGTTTTCCTTCTCTAGGCTTATGCAATGATGATGTCCCTTTCTGAGAATGCTCCCCTCCACACTTCCTCCCAGAATTCTCTGGATGCTTGGTTGAACATGGCAGGAGCAGCTTCAGAGTCGGGGACCTTTAACCCCATTAACCACCTCTGAGAGGTCGAGAAGGCACTGGGTCAGAGTCCAAGCGAGGCAGCCGCGGTGCTGTGATTGCCCTATCAGAAATTCCAGCAATCAGAAGATGGATCCCAGGGCCTCGGGCAGTCAGCTGGGGAAAGAAACCTGTCATGTGTGATCTGCAGCTCCTGAATTTTTCTCTCTCTGCAGCTGTTCAGTTCAAACGTGTCGGAACAAAACTCTCCAAACCGGATAGCCCTGAAGCTGCCCTAGGACCCCACCATCGCTAAGGATAGTGTTAACAAGACGGGAATTGCATTGGTGCAATCAAATATTGGCCCCCTCAGAGTTGCAAGACAATACCGCTGAGCCAGCTAGAGTCTCCTTCTAAACTCACACTTGAAACCATGTGACTCTCCACCATCCATTCAGTTCAGTTGACTAACTGTAACAAGGAAAACATGAAACTAGATCACATCCGTCCCTGGTGTAATTCTAAATGTGGTTACTGGAATTATACCAAGGAAGGGCAAAGTTGGGCCTATTTTATTTAACTCGCCTCTTTTAAAGAGATTGAAATTCTGCATCTGCATAGATTTCCACCTTCCCCTCCGCACGTCCGCCATCATCCCCAGCAGAACATATACATGCAAGGCAAAATGGTGCAGTGAGTCTGCAATGCAGGCAATCGGGATCCCCTACAGCTGGGATCATATCTGCCAGGAGTGTTGCTGGAGCTGGGGACTTAGCTGCATCGGACAAAACGGTGGACTGTGCCTTGTGAGCTCTGCCCTGGAAAACCCACCCCTCTGTTGCTTCTCCCAGAGGGTCTTTAGAATGAGGCCCCTGCAGTATTGGTGGGAGCCTGGATTTTGGCAGAAACCTCTGCCCCATGCCCTCATGTTGGTTTGTTGGTGGTTGCTTATGCACAGCACCCTGCCATAATTTGGCCCATCGTTTTGATAACATGCCTAAAATTTCTTGGCTTTTAGTAAGCTTATGAGTATAGATCTACTTAAACAAGTGGCTAAGAAAATGTATCATCTTTCTGAATCTAAATCTATTTGCAAATTTTTTTACGGATAATTTTAAATTGCTCAGAAGTCTCAGCTTTTTGGCTGACACAAAACAGCCTCCAGGAATATTGCAGCGTGTCTGTGCTATTTCCGCGTTGTGATAGCCACCTGGTATTTTAGCTGGTATTTTATAGGTAAAAACTAAACTTGAAAATAATTATGACAAGGGGGGTTGAAACATGACAAGGAATTACATTGGCAACACAGATGATGCTTGTGGCTTATGTTTGAGAAATTCCTAGGTATTTTGTCATAGAATTAGGGCTCTCTCTGGCCTGAAACTTTAAGTAACAGCAAGGGTGCCACAAACTTGCCCATTCAATGTGCTGTATCAGCGACTTGCTAAGGTCCTTGAGGTGCACTGATGACCCAGTTGCTTAAAGCCTTCATTCAAAGTCCATTGGTGTCAATAGGAGTTTTCCCATTGACTTCAGTGGACTCTGGGCCAGGCCACTTCTGAATATTTGCAGAACTGGGTCACTAGCCAACTTCTGAGGAACTAACTCACAATAGTAAATGCATCTGCTGGTCAGTGTTTATAAAATTGCTCCCTGCCCTGGTATTATCTGTAACAGAACAGACTGCAGCTGCTATGCTATTGAACATGGAGAAGGAGATCGCTGGAGCAGAGGTCCCTGCATGCTGTGCTTCATCTTGAGGTAGCTGCTCAGGTTAAGATGGAACATTGTATTCTGGGGCCTGCAATCTTAGTGGGCCACACTTCAAGACATGAGGCTGGGTTTTAGCATGCCAGGAGCTTCTGTTGGACGGCTCATGGCACTGTGCTTTGTGTGCCTCTCGGGTAAAAGGAATGAAAGGCTCATTAGCAGTATCAAATTATTCCCCCCCGTTCACTCAGAGAGGGACATCTCTCCTGCATGCCTCTCCAAGTCACCGCATATAAGTGCCGAAAGCTCCAAATCCAATAGCGATATGTAACTAACTCCCCTGTTTCAAATGTTTGCACAAAGCTCTTGGCGAGGTGTAGCCCAAGAACTGACAATGTCAGGAGAAACCAGTCTCTAGGAGTCAGATGGAACATTCCTAACCCTGGCACATCTGCCTATGGTATAACATAACAGTACTTCCCATTCACTTGGGCTTTAAATTATTCCCATAGGGGCCAATTTAAAATAATAATTAATTGTTCTTTTCCTGATGGAATTTACCTTAATCTGTATATAACTTGTAAGTTTTTCTAATTCTTTTCTTATTTTATTTCTTCCTTAACAGTATTTTTTGCATTAGATATCATTATTGTGAAGAAATAATGTTAATATAAGTATGTAGTGAAGGACCAAAATTGTGTAATTAAGGTTGTATGTTGTATGATTGATAACCAGGGAGTAGGAAGATATTTTTATGTGCCAAATGACCCTAAATAATCCTGCTGTTCTTGCTGCCGATTTTCCAGACAATCATGTATTTTGTTAAATTTGAGTTTCAATTACATTTGCATTTAGAATAAGTGTTCTATTTATTTCTTTTATTTTGTTTGTTTGGGGGAAAAAATATCATAACCAGAAAAAAACCCTCCCCAAATACCCTTAATAGGACAAAATAATCAAAACTCAAAAAGCAAGGAGAAGTGTAAATAAAAACAACTGTGAAAATCCATATTGTGGCCAGGATGCCATACAATGCAAATGTGCCATATGTTAAAAACTAATCAATGCTTATTTATATAAAGGAATGGAAGAAAAATCCTGCCAGTATAATTTTTTTTTAAATATAAACAATCTACACTTTGTAAATACCTGGAACACGAATCTAGAAGTGTAGGTGGGTAGTTGCAGGATAACACTGATTCCATTAGAGTTTATAGCCATTTGCAAAAGCACCAGGTCTAATTACTAGAGCTAAAAGGTTATTCTTGTGAAAAAGAACTCCATAGTCCATAGCAAGGCTGTCACCCACATAGGGTTGGTTTAATCTTTGCTCTGAAAAACAAGTATACCCTAAAAGGACCTTCCCAGGTGAGAACCTCAAATCTGTAGACACTTACATATCTGTAACTGTACTCACATGAGTAGCTTGGCAGAAGTACTTATGTGATCATCTCCAGGACCGGGCTTTAGAGTCTCTCATTCCTGTGATCAGCAGCGGGCACTATAAAGCCCTAACTTGGCAAAACACCTAAGTGTGTACCTAACTTTAAACTTCGAAGTAAATCAATCCCTGTTCAGTTAAAGTACTTACGCATGTGCCTAAATCCTTGTGAAGTCAATGGGACTATTCATGTGCTTAAAGGTAAGCATGTGCTCTCATTCCTTTCTGGATTGGGGCCAGAGTGCTCTGCCACTTGTAGGATCAAGTGCAAAGAGCAAGAGTCCTTTGGTGTTTTGTTTGAAAGTCACTGACATCAGTTCTCCTTAGCTTTGCTCCTCCGTATGAGGGGATGACAGGGCAACCAGGTGTCTCCAAGTGAGCACAGAGGCTGTAACAGAAGTGTTACACAGGCCTTTTTTGTCTTCCCTCCAGGGTACAAACTCAGCCCTGCTGTTGTTTGCATTGCTTCTTCAGAAGAAGAATGTAGGAAAAGCTCTGAACTCTGTGTCCCTTTTCCCTTAGCCTCTACAAAGGAGGCTGTGCCATCCCTGCTTGCACTGAGCAGTCCTGCTGATCTTCTGATCACTGTGAGCAGGGGCTGACGCACACTTTGCCCTTCTTTACAAAAATGAAAGATCTTTTAAAAATCATAAAATAATTTATTTTTTTTCTTTTCAGTTTCCTGTTACTTTAAAAAAATATTCCTATAGCTGGTCTCTCTGCCAATGTTAGGATCCAGACCTCTCTAAACCAGTTCTGATGACCTGTTTTAGGGTTTTTTTCAGTAACGTAACAAACACAATGCTTAGTTGAGTTTATATTTATCTGTTAACCCCTCATTCAATTGCACTTAAAATGTGTTCCAGTTTGTAGCTGATTTTTGTTTTTTTCAGGTTTTTGATCTTACTTTGAAGGATGTTTCCTGAGACTTGCTTGTGTTTAGAATAAATAGAGACAAGACGGAGCCTACCATCAGAATTGAAATTATTTTTTAGCACTAGCCATGAGAAAAACCTGGGTCCCTAGTTTCAGTTGCATGTGGAGCAGTGCAGCTCAAATATACCCTGCACCACTAATGCATTACGCTCAGGAAGCAATGCTATCTATGTGATGCATCAGACTGTGTAGTTAGAGCAAATGCAGCTTGGTATTTCTTTGAAATCAAGGGTACCATCGTAGATGTGACCCCAGCCACCAACTATTGGGGGGGTGGGCACTATTGCTTTAATCTGTTTTTGCAGCTCCAGTAGGTAACAACATTGCCACCATAGCAAAGGGAGGGAATGGGATGCATTACATCATTGCTCTTGTCACAAGGGATGAGCCAACAAATCGATCAGCAGCTGAGGCCATGGATGAGCCTCTGGCTGTGCCAAATTGTTCTGTACTGCTGAAATGGAACTGTGTGTTGATGGGCCCTTCCTTCTGTTATAGCTACTTCGAATGTAGATACTTTATAGACGAGCTAAATATAAGCGTTAAAAAGTGGTTTGCTGTCCTTGCTGCTCCTTTGTGTTGCTCACAGCCTTCAAAATAATGATGTCAGTCATGGGATTGGTGCAGAGTATTCCCAGAGCAATGCTGTTGCTGTGCTACTTGGCATTCTAGTACATCTAGGTCGAATGCATCCGCTTTGTTGCTGGATGTACCAGATGTGTCCAGGATTTGTTGTTAGATGCACCAGGTATGTTTCTGTAGAGGATACCTGCTGGGCTCCTGCAGGCTTCAGGTGCCTACTTCCAAATGCACCGGCTGTGTCCTATGTTCCATTGATTTCAAGGAAAAATTACTGCTGCTTAGACCACGACAGGTGTGACGGCAGTGCACTAGCAACAAGCAAAACAAAACAGGGTTAACAGCCACACGTGAGCTGATTTGCTATGCTGCGTTCGAGGCAAAATACAAAGTTATGATTTCTGTCCTGCTTCAAACTGATTAGCAGAACTTTTCAATTTCCCCCAAATCAGCACTTAGAATTTCAATAGACTTACTGAAAACTGCTTCTCTCTCATTTTATATGAAGCATTAATAAAAGCACTTGCACGATGACATATTAACATGTTTAGACTCTAAGCATCAAAGCACTGGACTGTGAGCCCCCTTCAGCCCCTCCAGCCTACTTCAATCTACTGAATTACATTCAATTTTTATGTGCTGTATTTTTGTATGTGTGTGGCGGGGGAAGGGGGAAGCATCATGGTGTAGAAACCTGCACTTTGCTGCCCATTTAAAAATGGGCAGGGAGTGAAACAGTCTGCTCAGATCTGTGCTGGTAATATGAGGGCAAAAACTTTGCCCCTAAATGGTCAGTAGTGTTTTTCACCAAGCCATGAAACTGTTTCTCCATAGTGTTGAGTGATACTGTGATTAAAATGTTATTGAATTATTCCAAGATTTCTTTTGTCTTTATTCTGTCATTGATTCCTATTACCACTTTTGGAAAAAAGAAAGAAAAAGATAGAAAAAAAAAAGGCAGCTCTGATTTCCAAATGTGCAATTCACATGTGAACAAAGTAATTTTGAAGATGTTTCTCAATGTATTTTACATTCTCATTGCTCTCTTGAAAGCAAGAGATGTTCTGCCCTGATGTCATTTCCAGCCTGCAGAAGATGTAATTTAAAACATATATATATTGTGCTTGCAAGAATCATAAATCCGTGCATCCTATGTCATTCTTTCTCCCATTGTTACAATACAGATTTGATTTAGTTTTTTTTTTCCTTTAGGACTGTATAGTGTTTTTTTAAAAAAAAATCAATTGTAAATGTCTGGTTTTCATAAAATGTTTAAAAAACATTGAGAAAGAGGATGGTGCTTGTTCCATATCATTCTTGATTGTATATTGCTTCTGTTATGTTTATAAGTAAACTGTGCATGACTTGTGTTTAGCAGTCATTATTGTGTCTGTTTGTGAAATTTTTATTAAAAAGAAAAAAAATTCCGTAGATGCACTTATTGTATATGTGATTAGGTTTTGCGTCCAAGGCTAGAAGCCTTGAACTGCCAAGGAGGAAAAAAAAAGAAAAAGAGGTGGCAGTTATTAATTAATATGAAATCGCTTTGTTGGGAGCATAATGAAATAAAAAGAAATGAAGTGTAGAAAATAATTAAAAAAGCGATTTTACAAATTTCATTTTGATGCTTGTGATAAAAGACAAATGTACTTGTGTAGAGAAATTCCTTTAAAATAATGACTAGGAAAGCTGATTTTGAGGTTAATGCTGTAGAATAGGAATGTATACCAAATGTAATCTTTCCAATGCTACAATGAATTTATACATGAGATTGATATGCAATAAACCTGTGTGCTTTTCTAAGCCATGGCCCTGAGAGTTTTCTTGGGCAAAGCGCAGTGCCACACATGAGAAGGGGGATGCTTGGAAATAGTCTGGTGATCGGGCCTGGGTTTTGTAATGCTTTTATGTTAAGGGAAAGTGTTATGGAAACGTGGTTTTAATCTGTGAAAGACAACATCCACCCTCCCTGTCCCTCCCACACTGTGCTGTTTGGTTGCTGGATTCAAGGGCAAAGCAGCTCTGTAACTCCCTCCATTGCATGTGACATGTCACATCAACAAAGAGAATCAGTCCTCCAGTGCTCTCCATACCACATTAAGGGCTTCGAAGGAGCAGCAGTGCTACTCCTCATGGGAGGACAATGAGCACCACGCTGAGGGTGGGGAAGCATCTAACCATCTGCAGCATTTGTGGCAGTACTCGCACCACAAACTCACCAGTCAGTTGTCAAGTATTTGTGGTGGCCAGTTGAACAGCAAGCGCCCCAAGTTGGCAGGACACTGACATGGTAAATAAGTATGGTAGAATGACTTTAATGAGCCTACTTCATCTCTGCAGGGGCTTAGCTAACTAATATTTCACTTGTCTTAATCTGAAATGCAGTGAGTGATCTTTTGAACAGATCTTCTGGAGGTTTGGAGAAGGATAAAAAAGGTAAAACAAGCATCTCGCCCTTTTCCCTTGAGTCTGCTCCATGGTCTGGCAATGGCCAATGCCACCAAATGTCACAGCATTGAGAGGAGGCACCTTTTTTTATTAGAAAATTCTGACTGGTGGGGGAGGCTATCATGGGACAAAAAGGAGAGGAGATTTTGGGGAGGAGGTATGATTTTAGGAGAAGAATCTGTGAGCTGTTTAAGTAGGTTGAGCATATTTTTTCCGTAGCACTATGAGCAGAGCATTAGAGAACTATCCAGTGATAGCCGTCAGATGTTTCAGCGGGGGCACTGGGAGCAAAAATGACTTGAAAGCAGGGTCTTTGAACTAACGATGTGAATTTCAAAACTGATGAATGGTCTGTGCTTCAAAAAGTCATTCATAGTGATCAAATGATGGTATCCAACATACAACATAATAGCACTTCCCTGGAGTTTGCCATATAAGGGTTGCAGTCTTTGCTGAATTCTGAGTTGAAATCCTCTGCATCTCTGTGGAGGCTGGCAACCTCTCTCCTTATTAGCCCTGGAGGGGAAGGGGGGAAAAAAAGAATCTACTGGCTAAGAAAGCTCTGATAATAGAGCGATTGTCAGGCAGGCCTTAGAGGGAAGAGAACAGAGACTTTTAAGAGAATATTGCTGACAAGTGGACTTTGTCGTCCAGAAAGCACGTGAGCCTCACCATAAACCAGCAAGAAAAAGGCCCCATTTTTAGGAAAGGGAGAGGAAAAAAAATCAACAGGAGGGGAAGAGGATGTCAAGGAAAGCTCTGTTCCCAGGGAAATGTATGTTGTCAAGTTGTGTAGATCCACACGGTATTGTGGACCGTAGTCAGGTTTTACTGACATATTGGGACAGCTACTCTGAATGTGGATAACCTCATATTTTGTCTCACAGCCTAATACACCTTTTTAATTGTGGGAGGCATGCACAGCATTTGAGATCCATGCTTTCTCTGTGGGTTGCAACGTGCTGATTAGGCCTGTCACGAGAAGGGGTCCCTGCTTCTTACAATCTCAGCTAGTGAGATGGGCAGGCACTGGAAGGAAAAGTGTGCAGTCAGATGCGTAACATCAGTAGCATCACCCAGGAGCAGTATGGTAAGAGAAATACTTGTGAAGGGTGTGCACTTCAGGGAGTCGAGTCATGGGCTTCTCCTAAAACACAAGATTAACTGTCCTGCTCACAGCCCAAGGCCACAGCATCTGAGCTGGATCCCTCAGCCAGGACTCTCAGCCCTAATCACCAGACCATGCCTCCTCCTCAATCATCCTGACCCACCGTCTTGCTTTTTCTAAAGCATTTCTCATTTGTAGACAAATACACATACAGCAAATACCTTCCTCCCACCTCCTGCCTGTCTCATCTGCTAAGATTGTAAGCACTGTTGGTCCTTTGCACAAGGTGACCTTCACTTGGGAAAAAACAGGATGACAGCAATGATGTGTAAGCTAAAATAACCATTACCCCTGAGATCGCCCTGATCATTACAGGACAAGCTGTAAGTGATTTTGCACGCCTGGCCATGAGGATAATAGAAATCCAAGAGTTTGTTCCCCTCCCCTCTTTTTTAGATGGGAGAATATGACACCTGACAGCCATCTAGCACCTATCCAAACGCCACAGACCTACCCAGAATCTTGCTAGAGAAAGCCTATCTTGTGAGGCCTCTGGTCCCTTCTCATTGACAGCTGGACATGGCAGACTATGGTAATGTCAACTCCCACTCTTCCAAGTGTTTCCACATCCAGAGGGAGTGCAGAGATGGCGCAGAAAGTACTGTGTAAGGATAATGAGAAATGGGCAAGGGTGAACTAAATTTTATTCAATTTGCGGTGGAGAAAGGTCAGCCTGGGTCTGATTCTGTATCTTTCCACACACAGGGCTCTTTGGAGCTAGGGATGCAAGCTGGGCCCATGTCTGAGAAGAACAGCTCTTGAAAGCAGAATAAAGTCCTTATCAACCTCTCAAACCTCCCAGTCATATCAGCTTGATCAAGCTTCCTTGGCAACAGTGGCACTTCTGGATGCCAGCACGGCACTTTTTTTATTACTAGAGATGGGCTAAGGAACCAGTCTGAGAAACATTAACAGACAGACGTGCCCTGTTCAGTCACTCGCTACCCCCACCACTATCACCAAACAAAGCGAAGACATAAAGTTTCTGTCAACAGGCTTGCTAATGGCCCACTGTATCATGTTAAGGTCACTGCAAAGACATTTCCTGGAGACAGCCCAAGGGGGGAAGATGCCCATATGAATATTGGCGCTATGTAATAGGTCAGGAAAATAATGAAGAAAAAGATCTGCAATGAAAAGCTCAGTTGTTGTGGGTACGATAACGCCCACGTCAAATTCCTTCCCAGTGCAATCCTCATCACAAAGGAAAATGCCCCTTCCCACAGCAGCTTGTGCCCATGGACAGCAGAGCCTGGTCAGTGATCTCATTAAGGGACAATGGGGCAACTTCCAAAGGTAAGGAAACGTGCCTGCTGTAGTGACCCACGCTAGCAGGCCAATCACAGCCTACCCTCAACTCCTCCACAGTTATGCTTTCCCCTTTCCCAGCTCAGCAAAATGCAAATATGCAGAGGCATTCATGATGATTTGTATTACAAAAATAATTTAAGGTTAATTGAACAACAAGAAATGGTTTTGGATTCAGGTTAGGATCCAGGCTGGATTGAAAGTGCAGCCCTGCTTTTATTTCCCCCAGACTGGCACATCAAGAAGTAGAAGCAACATGCAGAAAATGCTGAGGAACCAGCTTCAAATGACTGCCCTGGGAGACACGGATGGGGGGCTTCAGGGGAAATGACAGGAGTCACAGCCACAGACACCGCTGCTCAGAGGGGCTGGAGGCATGTGGCAGTGAGGGAACAGAAGCTGCACCTTAGATCAGAGGTGCTCCGAGCGGTAAGGCAGATGTCAGGTTTCTGTCTGGCACCACAGGTGCCCCAGTGATGGGTGCCATGGATGAGAAGGCACAAGCTTGATCATCTGCTACCACCTCTACCAGAGTGGGAGTCAGCCTGTGTTATTATTTGACTGGCCTGTCCCTGCCTATGGGGTGCACTAGCTCCAGAAAACGCTGTTATCCAGCTGTAGTGCACGTGCCCCAGGGCTGCAGCCAGCCTTCGAGTATCACAACAGAGTGACCAGAGCCACCCAGCTAAGCCTCCCCCACCGACAGCATCAGGGCTGTTGTGCCAGGGTCAGGCATGCCTAGTGCAGGCAGAGTCTCGGGCGGGGGTTACACAACGGAGTTAGCACCTGTGCGAAGGGAGGCAGGGACCTTCCGAGCTGGGCTGCACGTGCCATGCAAGTGACACCAGGAGGTGGGCTGGCAGTGTGGCACAGAGCAGTGCTGCCCCGACAAACCTCAGCCCCATGCGCGTGGAGCGACAGTGCCCTCCATGGCCTGGCCAGGCAGACACCATGAGGGTGCTGCAGGCTGAGGTGCTGGCTGAAGCCCAGTGCCTGGGGGTGCCACCTCACACTGCAAGCACTGCCCCAGCTGCGGCCACTGAAGGAGGGAGGCTTTGGCTGGTGGTGTGGAGTAGGGAGTGAGGCTGCCTGCTGAGCCGGGAGTTCAAGCCCTGCTCTCAGCTTGGGTTGGAGCCCACTCCTTCCCTCTGCTAGGATGGGTGTGGGCACTGGGCCACCAGCTCCCCTGGCGGAGGCCTCTTCCTTGAGAGGGCAGCGGCAGCTCAGTGAAGCTGTCTGGGAGGCAGCCACTGGGCCACTTCACAAAGCCTTTGGGCCAGGTCCCTGCCTCAGCGCAGATGGGCCCCTCCCACAGTACGTATGCACACCCATACACCCCAGGTGCACAGATGGGAGCTGTGCGAAGCAGAGGGGTGCCAGGGACCCCTTCAGGAGGCGAGCTCTAGGCCAGCTGGCCTGTGCTTCATGGGAGCACCTGGGCAGGAGTGGGGCTATAGTAAATTTGTCCTTAAGGATGTGGGCCCGGGGTGGGGGTCCCAAAGACCTTGGCCAGGGAAAACAGTGGGTCAGCACAGTCCTAGGGCTCACAAAATGAAATGAGGGGGTAGGGAGTTCAAAACTAACATAAGGAAGTTCTTGCTCACACTATGTGTGATTCAGGTGTGGAGCTGCTAACCCAGAAGTGGTGGAAGATCACAGTTCAGCCACATTCAAAAAGGGATTGAGGATGTGGGGAGAGCAGTGGATGCGATATACCTTGACTTTAGCTCGGCTTTTGATATGGCCTCCTGCAGCATTCTTGCAAGCAAGTCCAGGTTGGATGAATGGACTGTAAGGTGGATAGAAAACTGGCTGGACATTGGTCTCAAAGGGCAGCGATCAATAGCTCGATGTCTAGTTGGCAGCTGGTATCAAGTAG